AAGCAGGTGGTTTTCTTAGGCGACCACATCCGGAGCCTTCGACCTAAAGGTCTGATTAATAAGGCAGTGGAGCAACGTCAGGAGAGGCAGTCCCATGGTAACCGGTGACCAACAATAGGTTCATACACCATTTGTTCTCTCGGAATACTGGAAGCTATGTGCACCATTGGTTTAGAATCAGGGTTTTCCGAATTTCTATGCCCACCAACCCTGTCAAAGCGCCAGACATTCGCTTTTCGTCCTCTCAATTTCGTAAACAACACCCTCACCACGAGAAGGCAGTGAGTAGGACTTCCCTGGCAGTGGTTGTATACGCGTGGCTATGTGAGAACATATCGAGCGGGAGAGTTAACTCTCTCCGCTTTCGGCCGTACTAGGACATTTGGGGGCACCATGAATCTAACCTCAGTATAGCTCGCTTGATAACCTCAACTTACGTGGGCAATATTATGAAGGCACCTATGACAGAAAATAATGATTTAAGAACATAATTCACTATTAAAAGACATGTATTTCACCTAAAGTCTGAACATCAAGTTATTTTATTTGTAAGATGCCTATCTCTGAGGTCTTCTCAACCTTAAACGAGGCCTACGTGCAAACTCGCTTCAAACATTACAACATTATCATCCTTCGGTTAGAAAAAGTATATTCATCTTTAGCAGGATTAAAGTTTTATTGAAGTTTCACAGATATATAACAAAATGGTTTGTATGTCTGGGACATAAAGCGTGAGGAAAACGACTACAGTAGTTTGTTTTGCTTTATTTTAGGTACGAAGGAAAGAAAATCATACTAACTCATCCTTGATAAGAAATATTTACAGAAAAGCAAAGTCCGCTTCAACCTCCAATGACCTTGAGATATCAAAACGTCTTAAGCCGTACTACAAACAACTATCAATAATAAGAGCAGATTAAAAATGTACCGTAATTTCTGTTTGGTGGTTGATTGATGCGGCATATACAGTGATATCAAACTTCGACAACTCATATGGGGAAATAGTTGTTGGCTTGTACAATGCCACTACGCTCTAAAGTGGAAGCTCTTTGTCCCGGTGTATGATTTGACAAAAAAACAGTGGAACTTCTCAGTCAGGAATGCAACTCGACGATCAACGATCGCTTTCCTGTTCCGTCACTTCTTTTGTTGTACAATCGCTATTTATCGAAAGTGTAAACCACTTCTAGCGGCGGGCTCCCGTAGTGACTCACTTTTATCACGAGAACACGATTGGTTTATTGAAAACAGTTATAACTTAAGAAACTCCACTTTAGTAGTAGCCCAAGTCTAAAAAGATTTAGGAGTCCTGGTGCCCCATGATTTAAAGTCTTATGCTATCTGTGACAAAAATGCCTTCCAAGAAAACCTAGCACTGGTAACGTTGAAGCGCATTTTCGGCCAGTTTGACGGAAGAACTTTCCATACAATCTTCAATGGTTTCATCCGTCCCCATTTAGAGTACGGAAACACAGTATTTTCCCCTCACTCCAAAAGGATAATGACACCCTGGAGCGTATTCAACGGCGAGCCACGAAATCAGTTCAAGGACTCAAATCTAAGCCTTACGAAGAACGCCTCCATTCACTAGACCTTTACCCATTGGAGTATAGGCGTCTTAGAGGTGATTTATTAATGACTTATAGTATTCTTAACACTTCTGGACATCCTCTAAAACACCTACTTAAGCTTAGTTCTAACACTAAACGAAGAGGTAACACCCAAAACTGGAGACACAACATAGCAGAACGGAATCTAGACACAACTTCTACTCCTTAAGAGTTGTCAAATGCTGGAATTCGCTGCCGACTGAGCTAGTCCAAGCGACTTCCCAAGAGTCCTTTAAGAGGCAACTTGATCTATTCTTAAGGACTAAGGATAATATCGCACTATGATTTATCAATTTCCTTTCCTGTTTTCTTGTTAACATACCCAGGTTCCTGCCTGGAGGATTTGGTGATTCCCTGATACTAGACATGGAAGCCTGTTAAGCGAAAGCTTCTTCTATTCCGACCAAAACCATTTGAACCATTTGTACCAGTGACTGTTTTAATGTGCTTTTGTTTAACTGTGCCACAAACATCTATTATTCTTACACTTTGATTGTGACCTCGCGCGAATTCGGTTACGATCTGTAACCAAGCTTGTATCCTGGCACGACCTCGGTATTCTTTCGATACCATGAGATCGCCAGCAAACATTTCTCGACTTGGTCCATTAACTGCCTTCTGATATTTCGCTTCCAGGTGATTTGATGGATATCCTGACATGCGTTCCTTGGTAGCGGTGTTCATAGTCAACTGCGTCTTGACACCACGCTACAAGCTGTAGGGAAATAAAAACTGATCCAGTTGTCAGATGAAGTCTATAAATTTTATTTTTTTAGTGTTTTAACATTCACCATGTTTTCATTTCTGTTCAATTTATCCCCTACATAAGCATCAGAGACTCGTTCTTCTAATCGGTAAAATTGAAATTACGGCTGTAACCACAAGAATTATGAATGTAATTAATACAAAAGTACATGAACGGGTCGAAACACCGGACTTTATACCATAAATACTCGTTCAGCATGATGTACGCAATCGAATCAAGACTAAATCAAGCAGATACTTGCTATGGTATGCGAAAGTATAATAAATGAGTCCCTGAATAGCAAGGGATGAAGTTCTATAGCAAGCATTCAGAAAATTTGTTCACTCAAACACAGATGAATTTTTAATACTATCACTGTAAAACCAAATTATGAAGCCTCAAACAATGTAAGTGGATACTTGTCAATAGCAGATGTCCCACTTGATTAAGGAGTTGTCGCCCATTGTAGATCTAACTATAAAGTATGATGGGGAAACTCGAATCTGAAAACTCAAGATAGACCAGTGAAACAAATTAGACACAGTTCTGTAGAACCACATAAGTGAGGTGATAAATTAAGAGAACCGAAATCGCGAAAATGGATCAATATTAGTTTCATTTAGAGCCAAGAATAAGGAAAATACACAAATAACTAGACATGCAAAACCACGAAAAATGGATCCCATGGCATTCTAGGATCTTTCTTCCTAAAAGCATGTATGTGTGTAAAAGTGTCCTCATATGACAAACGTACCTTGTTTTAGCTTATATATAGCGTTGATCCTCACCTATCCGCATTCATGCACATCATATCAATTTCTTGGCTTATTCAAAGCTATCAACAAAATGTCGCCTGCAATTCCTAACCCTCATAAAATCTTTGATATTGTTTGACTTTTTACAAACTGCATTCCTTTTTACTTAACATTTTATCATTGTGTTTACCATATTGGCTAACCGTATCCTTGACTTTTACTTTTCAGTTGATTGACTGTACTCGTCATAAATGCTTATCGTTATTAACAAGCGATAAATGGTGCTACTCAAACCGATTTGTTTTATGGCCCTCATAATCACTTCTACCAGTTTTCCTTTTCATAATATGGCATATTTCTGCCAACGGAAACATATGCAAAACATGTTACGCCATAGAACTGGATTACCATTACAGGATTCACAAAACATTTAATTATAAGTCAATCTGAAGTGCTTACATATAACTCCTGACCACAGCAATCAATGTGTTGGGTATAGAACGAAGGAAAATGCAGAAAAATGGACACGGTGTTTACAAGGAGTGAAAACAGATGTCTTTGAAATGATAGATAGCAAATGCAAAAGCATTCAAACCTGGTCATTATTTACATTAAATCTAATGAATGTTAGTTCATTTCCCAATTATCTCGTCATAAAGCATGAGTTATACAATAAAGGTTTGTGGAGATAGATGTGACAAGCTTATTTTGCTCAGTAGGTAATACCAGCTACATAACAGTGTTATATGATAGCCAGGAAATATAGCATTTTTGGATAGATTTCAACTTAAGACAGCTTTTAAGACTTCTGAAGGTTTGACTGATTACTGGTAGCATTCCTTAGTTTCAAAACCAGTTTAGAACTAGTTTAGAGTTATTTAAGGCTGACAACTAAGTGACGCTTGCAAGTTGTAAACGCAAATAGCTTCTAAACTTGTAAAACTTTTGCACTACGTTATCGTTTTACAGAATAAAATGCAGAACGTCATAAGAAGCTGAAATAGTTGTGAAAAAACCCTCGGATTTTTGCAAAGACTTCATCCTCTATTCGCTGTAACAGGATATGAATATGACATTTCAAGCCGATAGTTAACATATGTAAGAAATACTCCAGGTAGAGCAGAGTGTTTAAATGATGAGTCTCATGGAACGTATGTTTTTTCGTTACAACAACCTGCGAAACTGAGACACAATAGGTCTTTAGCCTATCAAAATTTGTCCCACCCATCCGGGAAGCTAGTTCAGATGTTTACTGTACATTTCAGAGATCGCTATAGTTCCAGCTTCCAAGTATTGAAAGCAGGTCATCCTCCTTTCAGATGAAGAGTTAGATGAACTTGAATTTGTTCTAGACCAACAACGTTACCCTTAACAAATTTGAAGGTTATTGTAAAGGTAATATGAAACTAAGTGAGAAAGTGTAGATTTTTTCGACTGACCCAATCTTGTCCTTTCAGGAGAAAGACTAACAAAACATCTCCAAAGTAGAATATATGAGTCATCCTAAGATTTTTTCCATCTTTATATTCTTCACGATGTTCTAGAAATTCTCGATCCTCTGTCGGGCATACTAGGCATAATACAACACGTAACTAAACTACTCCACACAGAACGCTACCAAAAAAGGTAAAACCAAGAAGAGCTAGAAGAAAACATAAGGATTACACCAGTGTGAATTTAAAATAAACCAAAGAAATGCTAATAATCCCAGAAAGTCTAGAACTTTGACAAGACGCAAGAAAGACATCAAATCTAAAGCACGCAGTATCAACAATATATGAATAGAACTTACCTGTGTTAACAATTAATTCTCGTATTATATGTGAAGTACCGCTGAAAGCTATAGTAGGCGACAAGTCCATTCTTCTGTTCAAATCAACTGGGTTTGAACAACAACCGGTTATAGGGTGAAGAAACTGTACTTAGTAAGCGCAAGACTCAAATGCCTGGGGTACGGCCTGTGATATTTATCCGACCGATATGCTTACCCAAAACAACACACTATTTGTAGGTGTTAGCTAATTACTTTTCAGGTTATAACAGTCCTTTGTGGAGGCGACAAGTTGAATATCCTAAGGTTTTTCCTGGAGATCCTCCAGTGCCATGTTTCCTGCCTCCGTTTTGGATGAAAATGATGTATCCTGGTCCAAAGAATCCTCCTAACCATGTTATTTTTAAAGTCCACCCACAGTAATTACCTAGTAATTTGTTATCTCAGAATGACTAAGCGCGACGTACAGCAGTATCTAGAAAAGATTTACAATGTTCCTGTTGTCGATGTTCGAGTAAAGATGGTTCATCACGATTGTAAATTCTGATTATTTAGTAACTATTTGTGCAGTAGAACCAATTGATGTGCCGCCACTACGTAAAGCTCAGAGAGCAGTCGATTCCACACAATTTCCCCCTAAACCTGAACGCTATGAAAAGGTTGCATATGTTCGTTTGGTAAGACTTAATTCTGTACATGATTAAATTTCTCAACATAAATGTTTGGTTATTAACCAAACTGTTAGAATGTTCGGGAGACTAACAATTCTGGTTTTGCTTGTTTAGTTTTTTCTTGGTATATTTCGTCGGTTGATTTTAATGGGAGACAGCGTCCATGATGCATTTTCAGTACTTGATCTTCCACGTAACTATTTTGCTCTTTATGTCCAGTTTTCATCACAGAAATGTCATAGCAATTATTTTAAAAGTGAAATATGATTTTTCTGGAGTGAATCGTAGTTAAATTTGGATTCACGAACTCACCAGTGAAATAGAAGTTCAGTTTACCAAAGAATCTTGCTAGAATTCTATGAATATACGACTGTAAAAGTCGTTAGTCCGATGGATTAAAGTTTAATGATTGAAATCACTTTCTGAAACATACTTTTTCATCATCATTAGTGAAGCAATAACTCGATTTTGTGTAAGTGTATGTAGTAGCACAAAACATTATGCTTTTCTTGTTTTTATGTTTGCACTGATCGGTACTCAGAAACCTCAAAAAACTGGTTGTAGTAAGGTACTACGAACGGAAATCTAAATAAACTAAATAATATTTGCTTTACAGGATTCAGTGTAATTTAAACTGCTTAGTTGTGACTTTAGTTAGGTCGATCTGTGATTGATTTACTAATGGTTTTTGTTTCTATAAGTTTTCTCCTTTATTAAAAAACGGACATTAACCAAGCATATATTTCCACCTTGTTTTCTGTAATATATATGTTCAAACTATTTTGATATGTTTTTAGTTAGTCAAACCGCGTTTTATTACGGTGCATTGAGTTATGTAGAAAAATAAGGTAGATGCTTGGTTTACACCAGTTTTTGTTGCATTGCAACCGTATAGCTGCTAAATCGTTTCAAAGGCTGAAATGTTAAAGAACAACTAGTCAAATATAGAAGCGACACGCTTATGACTAGTTTACTAAATAATTCTTCGTTTTACTATGGGATGTCATATGACTTGCATATAATCTACTTATTCTGTTGACCACATTTGTCCGTAATTATGGCATGCATTTCGCTCTATCAAGGTACAATTTACACTCGCGAAACTAACAGGAACTCTTGTCTTGCCAATAAATCTTCACAGTGTTCAAATCATGTGTCGAAAACATAACCATAAGTTAAGAAACCAAAGTGAAAGTTACTAAGCATGAGTGTAATTGATCTCAATCATTTCGGTCTATCTTCCGTGATATGGCTACTGGCACTTTTTAAACAAATACCGAAAATCAATTGCTTTAATTAAAAACTAGCGTTCTTGATAGCGATTGGGTTCTGATTGTTGACTTGGTTCGCTTGTTATGTTCTTTTGTAAATCTGTTTGTTCTCATCTACATAGTTCTGTCGATAAGAATGTTATTATTTTTACGTATTTAAGGAATGTGTTTATTTTTGGAGAGAAAAAAGTCCCAGTATAAAGTACGTTAAGACTGTTTTCTTTTAAAGCATTGCAAAGATTCTCTTTGCTTGGTTACTGTTAGTAATTGCGTTAGCAACCAATTATCGATTAGAAACTGTGAATTGCTTTAGTGATACCTTGCTTATGTAACTCGACTGTCAGCTATTATTTAGGTCAATAATTTCACTTAACTCCGTAATTCCTCTCGTATTATCTTGTTTAGGCCCCTGGTGAAGTTTTTGTTTTTCCTGATCTGTTCAAAGACAAACGTCCATCAGAAGCTACTGATACTCTAATGGATGGCGATGCTGACAAATCTGAAGAAGTCGTTTCTGATGTCTCCAAAAAGGTAGAGAATAACAAACTTCAACCTCTGAAAGGGTGTAGCAAATGGTTTGCACCTTAATGTCTGTATATATTGTATAATATAATTTAGTTCACATATTGTTTATCCTGCTACTTATTGAAGTGGGATGTCAGCTGTTTCTCTCGACCAAACAGTTGGCAACTAGATTTTCATGCATTTCAATAAACACTATTTCTAATAGTCGAACAGTTAACCCTTTCTTGCCTAGAAATATTTACAAATGATGCTTTCTGTTTGATCACTATTTCTTCTTTAGAAATATTATTTGTATTCGTTCCCACCATTTACCTTTTTATTGGTATGTTGAAAAGTGTGATAGGTTCGCAATCATAGTTAAGTGGTTAGATGATCCGGTTTCTTACTAGTAATGGATCACTGGTTCGAATCTCACTCCACCTACTTCAGTTACGACAGATGTGGGTGTCACCAGTTCTCACACTTACAGTATAGCGCAAAGCTAAGTACACGAATTAGTACGAAGTGAGTTAAATAAATGCATTGCGTGGCCTGAGGTCGGCTAATGTAATTTATTTACATCTAAAGTATGAGCTTAGATAAGTGCATGTGTGCGATCTCCCAAGTTGTCTTTTATTTATTGACTGTAGATGAAGATCATGGGAGTATTGCAACGCTTTCCGTTGGAAATCAGAGATTGGTGATGTTGCGATATTAGTCTGTGTGTAAAATATCGTGCTTAAAGCACTTCTGTGCCCCTTTGTACCAATATTTATGTGTTCAAATAAATAAATACTTTACAAATGCCATTTTAGCGACTTCCACACCGCCCTTTATTCACTGACTATAAGACTGGTTGGAGAAAGTGAAATGGTAGGTTTAAGATATGTTGCAGGGGTATGAGAGAAAGCTGTATAGGACTAACATCTGTTGGTCCATCATAAGTCCCTGATTGGAGTCCGAGCGGTAGTTCAACTCAGTGGCTTGAAATGTAACCGGACATGACTCAGAGGAAGCAAATGTAGATCCTACTGTGATTTTCTTCCAATTTCTTCATAAAAGTAAGAAACTCCTCTTCCGAACAGGATTCTTTTCGTTGTTCATTTTTTGAAACAACTGTTTCTCTCGTACCTTAACCTCACCCATTTTTTATTCACCTATTTCTTCTTTCATTATACTCACTCTTATTTTTATATCTCTTCACAATGTGTGATGCAAATTTATTTCAATGCCTGTTTGTACCGACATTCGATGTTGGGTGTCTTTGAAGCATTGGTTGCATATTTCGTACAATCAAGTTTTGAGGTTTAACCCGGAGCTCTAAGCGTGACAAATCGATAGAAGAGGTAATGAATCTTTATCGACTGAAGTGGTTCGGATATGTATAATGTATGCCCATCCACCGTCTGCTTCGACGCACGATGATGTAGGAATAAGTTGGATTAAGGTTAGGGTCGTCAGAACCAGAACGTGGTATCAATCAACAATGAGAATGAGTATTGGACTAAGCCCTGTAAGTAGGTACAGACTATCTGGTTGGAGTCAGCATAGTGTGACGGCTCAAATTCGTTCACAGTAGTGCGGATACATCCACTCCGTGTCTTACTTTAAATCTTAAGTTTCTAAATTCTTCATAAGTTTCTTAGTATAGTGATGAAGAACTTGCCGAATTATACTCCCTATATAAGTTGCTTCATAGGAACAGTTTAAATGATAATTACAATACAAATACAATTCCTAAATGATCCCACCGAAGAAACACGGTGCAATTTTTTCATTTGCATCGCATAACAGAACGCCATCCATCTTGGTTGAGCAAAGGACAGGTACAGTGATTCAGAGTTGTATTCTCGTTCACTTGGTGAATACAGGACAATAAATTATTCAACACAACCATAAGAACCCCAAGTTCAAATCAATAATAGGAAAGGAAATCACACTAAATAGTTAGTGTCTGTTAGTCTACGCTCAGCGGTCAAACACATCTGTATTTACTGCCGCACATTAAGAGAGTATTCAGAAAAGACCTTAGATATATACAAATCACTGTGATCGCTCTTACCATTCTAGGTCTTGGAAGTATGGTTGTGAACATCGAGTATCCCACAGACAGCTAAGAAACTCAGTTGGATATATTCACATTTTAAAATTATTTTAACAAACAAAGACATAAATATATTCACTGTTAGTCTATCCTGAGTCTTAATATTATTCTATTCATTTTGTTTTATGAATTCGCCAACCATATCCTCTATTTTTAACTCTTTCGGCTTCAACTCTCTCTTATATAACCGTGAAATCCATATAATTGTGTTGACGCTGTGGCTGATGCACATTTGTGATATTAGGACATAAGTTGCTGAACTATTATTATTAGTCGAATTGACATAATGACTAGTTCAATAAAAGAACTAGTAATTTCTTTGCCCTAACTAGCTTGAGATTTTGTATTTCGGTTTACATGCTACCCACTAACTATACCCTTAGGTATTGTCACTTCATTACAATCGATAAAATGCAGGTCGATCCTTATAGGAAGTCCTTCGGCGTTTATATTCTACGTTAGAAAAGTAGTGTCACCGAAACACCGACCGTAGCTGCTACTACATAGTGGTCGGATGTGAATATTAAGATGACCCGAAAGAGTTATATCAGCTAGAATATTTGTTCATTTGGATCTTACCATACTATAGAGACTAGTTGAGGAACAGAAACGGTCGACCCAGTAAATAACACTTCACCTCATCTTACGGATTTCCGTCCCTGGCCGCTAAGCCTCGAAAGTACAGCTCTAGCACATCAAGAGCTACTCACAAAAGGCTCAAAGAGTTGTCCCTTGTGTTTCACGGTCACGCTCCCAGATCGTAAAGATCACTACTAATCCAGCTTCTTTTCCAGCCACCTCAAAAAGAAATGTCCTTCCATAGTATATGCAACCGCCCGCATACTCCCAACAACATTCAAGGTCATACATATAATTTATACTTATGTGGGTAACTGATCATAAAAATCAACCACCAAGCAGAACAATATCAAATAGGAATAGTGGATTCAAGTCAATAGAAGAATTACAAATGGCTTTTGTTTTTCACTGACAAAAAACAACAAATAAACCATCTCTCAAAACAAAAAAAGAACATTTACAATGCTTCATAACAACAGTATGCGTACAACTTGTCAAGTATATATCTGTACACACACACAATTAAGTCAGGAGAATTTAATTTAATGTTTCATCAAGCCTTCATTATTTCTTTATGTGCGCGCATCGACTTAGGAAAACGGTGATTGAATAGTGGTTTTAATAACTGATAATAATGATCAGGATTTGCACGTGCACGCGCGCGCGCATGTGTGTGTATAATTGTGTGTACAACATTGGAATGGATACAATAAAATGTGAATTCATATTACCCACAATGTGGAAGAGAAGATCACAGAAATAGTAGTAAACAAGAAGAAAAGAGAAATCAAAGAAAAACTTCAAACAAGTTAGATAACCTGTAATAATAGAATAGAGATCCAATACTGTGTAGTACAAGAAAGACAAATGTTTATATTGCCTTGAAAAATTAAATTCATTTTGTATGCAATATACAATTGATAATATGTCTCTTATTAAGTAATGAATGAACCACTTTATTAGTGTCTTTCATTATGTGTGCCTGTGTATGGGTGAGAAATACAGAATGGGTTACAATACAATTCTCAATTGTATCTCTCTCTCTATAAATAATATATATATATATATATATATATATATATATATATATATATATATATATATATATATATATATATATCTGATCATAGTTATGAATAACAATGAAGTTAACTAGCAAAGTTCACATCATCTGGATAGGAAAGAAAGAAAATAACAACAACAATCATTGGCATCAAAGTACAATACAATTCAGTCAAATGGTTATGTAATCAAATAATCTACCATTCAATCTTATCTTCGTTTACTTTTTCCACTTTCATCCTTCTTTTCATTCTGTCTACAAGATATACATATGAAAAAAGGCACTATAATTTGTAAGTTTCTCTTGTGTGTTTTTTTAAATCATAAAAAGAAAGTTTTATTCTTGTCCAAAACCTTCTGTTTCATCAATTGCATAAGATAATTTCTCAGCTAATTGTTCATATGATCGATATGGTGGTAGATCTAATCGATTGAAACATGTATGACTTCGAGGTAGCCATGAATCTTTACCAATATATTCAATACAAAATGGTTGTGGACCATTATTACCTAAAACAAATGAAATAGTAAATAAGCAGTAATGAATAATGACATATTGATAGGAGTCAATCATAAGTTATATAAAGAAGGCAGGATCTAATATTGTATGGATCCGTTCAAATTGTCCTTGATCCTATAAAGAAACTCGATAGGTCAGTAGTAGTGGTCAAGACTAGTCAGATAGGATTATGTCTAGTTTTTAGACTTTAAAATTCCATGCATAAATTGTACCAAACCTGTTAAAATATGAACACAAGTTGACAAAGATTGAATGTTGCATTGCTTAGAGGAAAAATCTGATTATACCTCTCAGTTACCTAAAAATACAGATGATCATTGCCGATTAAACACTATGTTTTCATGTGCACGATATCGAACCTAGTCTTTTCAGCACTTCATTTTATGAATACTTGGAAAATAATAAAGAACGGAAATGAGGCAAATGTTTTGTCACAAACAGGAAGTAATTCCAAAAGGGATATGTACTATATAATTGAGATTTTGTAAAAATAGACTACTAATGACTTCAGTTTGAGCATATAATGAATTGACTACGATACTATTCGAAATCTCTTAGAAACTAAACATAAATCCGGGATTATGATTACGTAACATTTTCACTAGATATGGGCTGGATTGATGCACTAAACAAAAACCGAATATATACGGAAAAGATGTATAAGATAGAAAATGGGCCTAAATCACTGTGTTAATTTGTGTAGTATTCTATGTTTTGTGAAAACTTACCAAAACCGAAAATGGGTGATAGAGAACTTTATTATTTATTTAAGCAAATAAACATTGGTACGAGACACCGAATATATATGCACCACACAAATTATCTGATTTGTGTAAGGGCTGGGATACTTCCCGGGTGCCCGAACCGAGGCAGGTGGTTTTCTTAGCGGGCTACTCTCCGAGCCTCTCACATAGAGGGTGGAGAGTGGAGTGGAGCAACCTTAGGAAATGCAGTTCTATGGAAGCCGGTAACAAAAACTAGGTTCATACGCCTTTTATTCTCTCAGGATCCTGGAGGCCATGTGCACCATCGGTTTGCAATCAGGGATTTCAAACTTCCCTACATGGATTCTTTATATCCACCAATCCGGTTAAAGCGCCGGACATTCGCTACTTGTCCTCTCGATTTCGTAAGCAACACCCCTAACGAGAGAAGGCAGTGAGTCGGACTTCCCTGGGAATGGCTGTATACGCGTGGCCATGTGCGAGCATTTCAAGAGGGAGAGCAGACCCTCCCCACTCTCGACCGTACCAGGGCATTTAGGGATTCTAGATAAGACTGATCATTTAATCAATAATGTACCACTTAAAAATTCACCTTTAGACTAACGAACTAATTTTGAAATGTACACAAATGCTTTTATATGTGACGTAGAATAACTACTATACTTCTTGAATGTCATAAACACTTCAGAATCGCGAACAAATTAAAAAAAATGAGAGGCGACACTGCAAAGATGCTAATAGTGATATACCTATTTAAAGTTAGTGACATGTACGTGATCATTAGTCTCTGCAGTGTTTCTTGTCAACTATAATTTTGGGGCTTGACACAGAGATTATATGTTGTAAAGTGGTAAGCTCAATGGTGAAAGCATTCAACTTTCAAAATAGGTTAGTCAATCGTGAGGAACACAGAACCTAGGACAAGTAAACGTAAGCACAAGTTGCCATACTGAATGTAGTCTACATCTAACACAATATAGTTTACTCCAACTCCCAACTATTTCATGAACAGATGCCACCATTACGTTTGACTGCCCTCTTAGTTTTCTTCGAGCTTACTACAAATAGTGGTCCGGTCAACGTTACTTTGCATTGAGGTAGGCGATAGTTGGACATATGTGAACTGCTACCAATTCAATATTACGCTAGACAAACCGGATAGTATCGATAGGTGTTATACGAATGATGTAGCTCAAAGCTGGGAGCATTAATCAATATACTTGGTAAGTGTGATGCGTTACACTAACTTATATGTTAGAAGTGGCAAAAGAATAACACCATAATAAATGTGTACAATATTGTTAGGATTTGAAGTGATGTAACAATGGATTACAATCAGTGTAAACATTAACAACACTGGGATGGAGTTGCATTCAGCTGACGAGTCCCAAGTGGGATAAATGTACCGTAAGTCCTGGATCCGATTGCTAACCACGTACCATATTTACCGAGAAATCTCAGTTTACCCTTCGCAAATAACGATAATTATTATTTAGTAGCTATAATAACATGAAATGAAATAGCAAAACTAACCCATAAGATTTTTAAATCCTCCAACAGGGACACGACATGTGCCAGTGACAAACTGAAGTAATCGAATACGTCTTTGTTGAGTTAAACTTCGAACAAACTAGATTTTCACGAAAAAAGAGGAGAAACAACGTGACATTTTTTGGAGAGAACAGTGAAATTCTGAAGAGAGGGTGAAGTGAAGTAAACGGAAACATATTATAGTCAATCAGTCAGTATCAACATAGAACCTGATACCTATGTACATCAGTTCATGTTGCCACGCCTCATTAGCACAGAGAGATGAAATTGTCAACCTAAATCCCGGAATATAAGATATGCAGAAATCTAATCATTCTTGTCTATATTTTCAAATTACACGTAGAAACACTCACAATAACTGGGGGTCAAGCTCAAATGATGCTTTCTAAGGAGTCGAAAGTATGTTGATTGGAACACTGTTTAAGACGATCGAAATGTTGAGATTATTGCGTCCTGTTACAAAAACTCCGTTGTTATTGTATTGCAGTAACATTTTGACTATTCAGTCAGTCTTGAGTGCTGTTAGAGGTATGACGGCGGTTATCATTACCCGGTTGCCCACAACATGGAAGGGTTCATCTATAGGTACCTGGAAAAGTAATTGAATTAGAGATGGTCTTATTGATCGGAGAACGTGACTACAGTGCCAAAGGGACAACTGCTTGAGGTCGGTCACACGACCTTTTCGTGTTAGCTCCGTTCTTGTTGAGACCTTACCGCCGGAGACGGATATCTGTGAGATAGGGCGAGATGTGCATGTTTAGGGGCGACCTCTTTTAACCCCACCCCTCCTTTTAGGAAGGGAGCATCGCTGTTATGTTGGTTGTCTGAAAGAAACACCCTACTACCGTCACACCTCTGTACAGTCAGAAGTACGACTTCGCCCTCGAACCTTGGGTTTGTTGCTTTTAGTCTAACCGCTCTTCAACTGACTTGTCTAGCATAGTAGGATCTTGAGGAATGATTGTTTCAGCCAGCATAGCTAGATTGGTTCATCACAATAGGCAAACTCGACCCCAACGTCGAGGTAGCAACAACAGTCGGGATCTTAACTATTACAAAGAGAAAACATGTCGATAGTCATAATCAACATGGAATATAGCACAAAGAATCATTCAAATAACTATTCATCACTATTAAGTGCAAAGCATTCGCCCGTTCTAGCTTCGACTAACGACTCTAGTACTCAAAGTTAACTTCTCACCATAATTGTTTCTGAGTTTTTATTCAATGAATTATTTATTCATATGACCTGCATCTTGATTGGTTAGGAACTAGCTTCACTATTACTGAAAGCCATCAATGAAGTATAGTCTAACATGACTCATACACTATCAGTTAGTGACTTGATGATATCCTTCTTACTGTTAAGTTGTATTTGTTAGACAGTGACTGAAGATATGCGTAAAATATTTTCACATAGTGTATGTTTATAAGCTTAGAAATCGACCACTTGACCTTTTCACACTTAATTACTTTATTTACGTCTAACAAACGCCAATATTGTTCAATCAATCATCAGTGGTAGTGAGAACAATGCTTCAGTTAAACAAATCAACACAAAGGAATAAGATTTACATTTGATACAAAGTGGAAACTAGAATGTTGACAGCTTAAATCACGAACCGATTTTAGTCAGACCGTTAATGCGAATCTAGAGATATTAGAAAACCATTTCACCCTAGTATGGCACTAATATTACATGCTCACTAGTGACTAGCTTCAAGATGAAACTCTTGGAGAGGCCGTGGCCAGTGGAGCTCAACCATCATTATCCATCTCAGGCGATATAAAACGGTCGCTCAATAACTCGAATCAATTGGAGTTTGAAGCGAACATCACTACACACCGACTCAGTAGTCTAGAGGTTAAGGGTTCGCACTTGAGACCGAAGGACTTATATTCAATTCCCTTTGGAGGGGATCGTGTATGTACACTGCTGATGAGTTCAACACTCGGACGAAATGGCCGTCCAGCGCTTTTAGGTTTTCAATAGTGGTTCAGCTGAGATCAGTTTGTGATTTAAATGACAGGAAAATACCTCAAGAACTGAAACCAAGATCAAACAACATACATTCCAAAACTTTATTTGTTGCTAAGGCGATCATTAGAAAATTACTCAAATTTTGACACTGAGTACTTATTTCGTCATATATATATACTTCGTATACCAATTTTCCCTGCAATCAGTCTTCTCGCGTTAGTTACTAGAAGTTGAACTCTTGTGCGTTAGTTACCGTTATCGATTTATTTACGCAATAGAACAGATAGTGTACAGTAGTAGTTCAATCGCTCTAAATTTACCAAATATTGTGGATTTGTACTGACTCCCTCCTAATATCGAGATTTAACACCTTACAAGCGCCTAGACTTCCAAGTACATGTTTATTAAAAACTAAAGGATCCATGAAAAAAACTTTTTAACAAAATCCTACAAATCACATGAGTATCATAGAATTTCTCTTACCATTAATATCTATATCTATATCTATATATGTATAATCAATACAGTTATTCATTTTCTCTTTACAAAACACATGAATAATCAGCATTACTGAATATGGAATAAAAAGTTGCTTATATATAATAGATATATATACTCTGTCAAATGATCATAGTATATATACATATACATAAATGAGAAAACTTAAAATAATCTAACTGATAATTAGTACTTAATCAGTTATAATGAAAGTTACAGTCTAGGCATCACATCATATCATATCAAAATGAGATAAAATTCACAAGATGGAAGAATAGTAAAGAAGTTGAAATAATCTTTATTAACAATAATGAAGAGAAAGATAAAAAGCAATGAGAATATAGTTCGAAGTGAAGAAAAATGAACAGATATGAAGAAATATGGGATGTTAGAATATAAAGAGTGAACCCATTTGTGCTATGTCACCTTAACATCAGTGTTGTCGCACAGACTCAAAATAAGTAGTCGGTACTTATTAAAATGGCTCAGACTAATAAGTAGTCAATAAGTTGATGGGCTAGTGTCATGTCTAGGTCAACTTATTCCTAGTTTTTTTTATAAACCTGTTAATACGACAGCTAACATGAGGATTAAGGTAGGTGGAAGTTGAACATATGTCCTGAACACCAAAGCCAATCAAAATTAATGGTCTTATCAAACCGATTTACCACGTCTAATTAATACCGTTTGCCTAACCTCGGCATTGTTCGCTTGGTCATTGCACGGTCAGTCAGCTACAACGTAGGACCAGGCACATATATGTATTATTACACGGCATGCGATCAATGCTTCAAGACACCTATGATCAAATGCTATTCGTTTTTATTTTTAGAGTAAGCAATTGGGGAGGGTGCAACACTTGTCAAACACTATTACGCAGGGCGTTCAGGGATTTTGCATTACGCCAGTAACTTTACCAAATAAGACTAAGTCATCTGTGCACTTTGTATTGACGGTAATGTGTGATGACAGACAAAATTACGTAACAGATACACTGAAATTGGTGAGAACATACTAAATAATACATGCCAGGTTTTACATTTGATGGGTCCATCAAGTCAAGTCTTTATTCAAAGCTGACCGGATTATATCAAACAAGTCCTAATATGGTCTTAGTCTAAGCGATTCAACATAATGTTTATTATGTTGAGATGTAAGGTGGTGCCAAGAAATTCTGGTACCTAGGTTTCGTGGTGCTTGGCATTCGTTAGCAAGGTGTACCTGTTGTCTTGAGGGGAATGATCCTTCCTTGAGGACTCAATCACGTGTCACCCAACTTCACAATCAAGCACGTTACTATTAAAATGTGGCGCATATTTATCTGGTGCCCCCTTGTACCAGTATTTATGTGTCCAAATAAAATAAAAATAAATTGAGTTGTTTAGACGGTGACACACACGATGTCAAGTCACTTAGACTAGTGGATACATTGTACAATGATCAATAGAGTTCGATAAATCCTGTAGAACTTTACAAATATGACATTGAGCACTATTTAATCATCAATCAAAGTAATTATCTCAATCCTACACGATTTTAGTCGTTGCTCCAATAGCCCGCTGGTAATTTCTCAATTCGTAAAACCGGATGACACAAATTTGAATCCACCAAGAAGCACACATTTCCCCAAAACTGCAAATATGCTTTGCTGACGAGTGGCATCCAGCACGAAACTTCGGTCGTGTAGAAGATCCACCCGACTACTTCAAATCATCTAACATGATACGGTATTGTCCTCCAGCTCACTGCTACATGGTAAATGGGGGATGTAGTTACAAACAGGCAATAACAGTTGATATATAGTTTAATCTTGATAAATTCTGAATGTATGACAACTTTAAAGTTATAATTTTCTCAACATAAAATGTACTTCAGTTCATGTATTAACGAATGAACAAACTTATTACACATTTACTACACATTACGCCGAGAAATGGAAATAAACATGAAAAAGATGAACAAGAATTGGATGGAATTAGAAAAGGAGACCCAAGACAGAGTGTGTTGGAGAATACTGGTCGGCGGCCTATGCTCCATTGAGAGTAACAGGCGTAAGTAAGTACGTAACTATAACTTTAAAAAGAAAATCTAACTCAACTTACTTTCCAAAACCATAAAACTTGTGGAGATCGAGCATCGTATTTTTTATAAGTTGTATGCGATTGCCAATCATCTACATCGATTTGTTGCATACCACATAATAAAACCTAATTAATCAAAGAAATGAAAAAAACACAAACAAGAATCATTAGTGAAAACATCGAAAAGAAAGTGATATACAACATCGAACCAGGATACAAATATTTCATTGACTGAAGAATCATCACATCAGAACAACAACAAAAGATGAGATCACTGAGATGGAATAGCACAGAAGCCGAATCAATAATGTTATCACCATGGTGATCGGTAGAAAGAAAGATTAAATAGTGGAGAATAAGGTCAGGAAACAACGGGATAAGAAATATGTAATAATCTTGATGGATAGTGAATGTAACAGCTACACTTCAACTAATTTTAAATCATGTGATCCACTGACATTTCTGATCAGTGGTCCTGCTAATTCCGATCAGGTAGTGTACACCTGTTGACAAGGATTAAATCACTAGTCAATAGCTTCATAAACTGATTGTCTCTAGGTTATTTCTGTACCAATCAGACAGAATTATGTATTAAGGAAGGCAATGGTTAAGAGTGCCCATTACATGTCCTATCTCCATCGATGCAAGTTCATCATCTTATTAACTAATTAGATCTCCTTAACTAGTTGATACATTTTCCATTTAACCTAAACATATACACACACATGTCCTCCAGCATACGCTAACACTGCATAAACATATCAACTTTTCTTTGAAGTGAATATTTTGATTGAATAATTTACAAATTATTTTAACTGAAAAACAACATTTTCGACTCCTAATGTGTTTTAATCAACCCTTCTTCACAATACTGTTTTACATCAAAAGATAGACCTTTGAATTTCTAGTATCTTTTGTTAACTTTGAGGCATACATACACCTTAAATACAAATTAGTGGTTCATGAATATTCAGTTTTGAAGTATATAGGATAGGTGTGTATTATCACCTGTTAACTTAAATAAATTTTGTAGGTTGTATTCGTTACAGATTGATCTTAGTTGGAGTATTACTGGAAATTAGGGATGACTGTATAGTTGCTTCATTTTAGTATAGGACTCTTTAACAGTCTTTAAATACAACCTTCAGATCTTACAATGACATGAGTTTTCTAAGTTCTGGTGAGAAGCAATGACCCAAACATTTTGGCAGTTAAACAATTATTACAAACGATAATGGATTGTTCCTGTACTGCATTGCGAAATGACTGAAGTTGGGATTGGACAATCAGATCCCGTGACTGCCGCAAGGAAAACTTGGGTAGTTATATATATGATTTTGATACTAGCATAAATATCACCCACAAAGAGTATCGTGGTTTCTTCAAAGTGGAGAAATATCTTACCAACTACAGATTTATGTGACAAATACCGGTAATCTACAACTTAGTTGTTTAGGCGGAAGTAGGTGAAGGAGACAGTTCAAATCGATAACCTAACATTACTGATTCAAAGCTGACGGTTATAACCACTAAGTCTTCGAGCTTAGCTCAACTAACAAAAAGTGTAAGATCTAACAACGTTTTCTATCAAATACCTCCCACTAACCATTTAACATAAAGATGTATATATAAAACAAAAAAAAGAATAATGGACTATATTTGCAAGAGACGTTTTATTGTCTCATGAAAAGGAAGCCAATCGTATAGACTACACACTACCACTACTGAATATATAGATAGACAGTGAGTGTAACTATTCTATTTCGATCAACTCTGAATCATAATACTACCTAACATTTCCAACCAGTGATATCAATTATCCTGTGAATATTAACCAAGAAGCATGAGTCTACTGACACAGATCAGATCAATATTCAATGACTTTATGGATTAGTCTTGTAAAAAAAGGAAACAATTGTACAAACTATACACTACCAATACAGTAATACAGAGATAGATAAGTTTTGAAAATAGCCTTGGAAAATCCAATAAAAAATATATTGTTATGGCAACCTACTACTATTAGATAGATGAAAATTTTTTATTTGGAAATATGAACTAAAGGGGAATAACAACAGCAATTGATAATTCGATCATATGACTGATACTTAAAACTTCGCTAATTAGACAAATTTTAAAAGAGGACTAAAGTATTACTGATCAGTTAAATCAGTATATACACAACAACTGAGACTGTTAACTTATGATTCATTTTAGCTTATTCTATCATATCAACGAGTGTTCTTAGTTTATGAAAAATAAGGAAGTTTTATCCTGTGTAGGTTATGACATGTAATAAAACAATGTAAGTATGATTTAGATGCATTTTCCTACCTTTACATACAACAGCCTTGTTCAGTTGGCGTCTGATAAAATCTCGGTCTACTTCTACCAACTCAGGTCACTTAAAACATATGTGAGACGTCTGTCTGTCTATCAACTAGAAGATACGTTCACTGTGTACCAATCTACAATGTATTACTTCATGGTAAGTTGATTGACGAGGTAATGAATCCATATTGACTCAAAGGGTTAGAACAAACGTTATGTGTGCCGATCTGCTATCAAGGGACGAGTACTGGAAACTTGGAACTTTTGGTGTTATCTTTCGGATTATTATCATTTAAACTGTGTGTAATTAAAAAGTAACTGTATGATTTCATGTATCCTCCTGGCTTCAAGCTTTGAATGGACTTATTAACTGTTGTTGTGCGTCTAACTATTCCTTAATTATTGTTAATTAATTGAGGACCGATTGTTTCACCCTTTGCCACTTATTTCGTGACTGTGTTCAAAGTATGGTTTCTTATTTTACTATGATGTGAGGTTTGAAAACTCGTGAGTGTTTGAGATAGTTAAAGCTAGCCGCTAATTGCTCTTCGAACTCAAGGTTAGCTGTGCAGGTTCGAACGTTTAACTGGTCCGGTCTAGGACCACTCCAACATGGATGGAATAAAACCAGTGATAACCAAATCAAGACATCGCATTAGTCTATGAAGTCAGTGATTATTCGACGTATGTAGGATGGAGTCTGAGAGATTATTTTGACCAATGGATGAAAACATTAGATGACATAGATCACTAGTGGTTACAATGATGTTATGAGTAATTATTATCTTTTCTGAGTGATTACTTTGTTGGAAGAGTAAAATCAACCAATTTGAACTAGTGAAGATAATGTAGACTTATAAATACAATAGTTATTATGTGTAATCTTTGTCAGTCTATGCTTGATTCGTCTTCTTTAAACCAGCTGAGATGAATTTTCCAGTTGGTATTCGTTTAGTGGAGGCTTGTGAGATCAATTAGTTTGTGAAGCAGTGATCACATATTGTCGCACAATTGAGCAACCAATGTTATGAGTACTGAGCAAATATGACGAATTAATTCATGAGGATGTTAACCTGTACTAACTCTGATATTTAAGACACGCGTATTATTTAAGATTGAACACCGTCTATCATAATGCATAATAGGAGCAGGACGAGGAATTTGTTGGAGGAAAGATAGGGAGGGCCAAACCAGAACGTGACATTAGTCCACCAAATCACGGAATATTGTGTCTAAACAGTGCTTCTAGATGCAGACTACCTGATTGGGGAGGGGGTTCATGTTATAATCATGATCAATCATTGTAGATGTTGGGTAACATGGCTTCGAATCGGTAAAAGTAGCGTAGATCTATTAACTTTTTGTCTTCCTCTACATTTGGAACGTTAACATGCACAATTACGTAAATACCCTGCAAGAGGGTAATTTTACATTGGTTTTCAAGGGGATCAGAGACTATACAATCTCTTACAGTACGACTTGGACAATATAACTCAGCCCTGTGCCGCAACCATATAGGTATCAAGAACTTTGGTGGACAAAAACTTTAACATTACTAAGTACTTTTTTACTTTTTCGTATTCACCATTCATTTTTAATCACATTCTCCAATATTTGGTCTTTTTAATTCATCACCGATATTACTGTTATTGTGGACACTTATGCTATCCATATTTTTAGTTTATTTTTCAGTCAGATTAATGTGGTCTGGCGACTTATCACATTCTGTGTTGACTATGAATGCAGATAACAACTGAGAGTAATAAAATAAGCTCAATGTTTACGTGATTTTCATGTTAATCTGGTTGTATTAAGGAACACAATCTTGTCAGTCATATAGTGAAGTAAACAAACTAGGTTTCAAGGATGAACTAAAGAAATATCAAACTGATTTCATATCAATTAAAGCGTAATGTGGCAGTTCGTTCTTTCCTACTTTACGGCTGAGCAACTTGGCCATTAAGAGTAGAAGATACACGTAAGATACTAGTATTTGACCACAGACGTCTTAGAAATATTGCTTACATCTTCTGGGATCACCATGTAAGTAATAGTGAGGTTAAACTGAGGGTATTAGGGAATGATGGTAAATCACTTGATGAGGTTGTGAATCTTCATCGACTGAGATGGTTGGGTCAAGTATTACGAAGACCTAACTACCGATTACCACGATGTGCAATGCTGACTAGTGTTGATGATGGTTGGAAAAAAGTTAGGGGCGGCCAAACCAAAACGTGGAATCAGTGGTTGAAGTCACTAACTTCAAGTCTGAGCCATGTTGGTAGATACAGACTACTTGGTTGGAGTCCATGTGACTATCGTAACTAATAGATAAATAATACATTTGTAATATCCCAATGAGTAGAAAATTAGATTTTCTGACGTTTCGTGACTTAATGTAAGTCACTTCTTCAGAGAATAGATGGCCGAAATTGCAACTAATGGTTGGAGACTCTGTGTGACATGGCTCAGAATCGATCACAATCGAGTCGGTGTATACACTCTTTGTCTTCCCTCAAACTAGGAGATCTAAATCGCTACATATCTTTCTTTCTACGAACTAATTCTTTCTTCCTGTACTATATCCTTATTGCAATCTTTCTTCTATATATTACCACATCTAAATTAACTACTTTTACGGATCCGGTGTTCATCTTGTTGTGCTAACGCGGTATAACATAGCAACTTGGACCAATGCTTATATGTGCCTGGTCCTATGTTGTAACTGACTGACCGAATGTTACGATGAGAAATTGTGATTTATAGAATTTCAATTAGATCAATAGAGTAACATGGTAACATTGATTGATAGCATTCAATAAGCAATCAGTGTTCAAACACCAAATCTAAGAATTTTTGATTTGACAGTCCTAAATTTGTTTTCATGTGAATCTCAACAGTGTTGTTTTTTTCTGAATAAAGAAAAACAAAATAGATGAACATTTACTAACTTCTAATTCACGTTCATCGAAATATTGTAACCATTGAAGAGGAAATACATCTTCGAAACCAGTAAGGAATGCATTTGTTTGATCTTCTACTCCACGAGAAAATCTCCAATTAACCATTAGACTGTGAAAAAAGTTGTTTAATAAATAAATAATTATAGAAAAGGATAAATATATGATACTAATTATAAGAGTTATTAAAATTGTAAACTGATCAGTAGTAGAATTGTGACCCATGGATGTCCAAGAGTTCATACTTATGTACACAATACTTTTACTTGAAAGAAAAGATAAATAATAATGAGGAAGCAGGTTTATTCGGGTAAACCGAAGACAATGCGAGTCAATAAATTCACATTATTTATAACGTAGGTAAATGTAGATCATATAGTACTTTATAGGAGAGTAAGAACCATATAGAAATCAAAAAGGTTAAGTCAACGTCTTTCAAATGAACCTAAAAAAACCTATTCCTACATATCCAAATTTCAAACAAGTGGGATATGGTTTGATGATGTTGACATTTTTCGCATCAATTCATCATGAATTTCATCCAGTAAAATGTGTCTATGTTATTATCTTCTGAAATGCTTCAAACTGTTACTTTTTCCAGTTCAATGTAGATCATAGGTCCTGTGGTGATATATTGACACTGAACTTATTTTCCTGTGTTAACTTGGATATTTATCATTGGAAAAACTGCTGTGATGTGTTGTGTTTGATGAAACGCACTTTTTATACACACAAGCACAACTGGCTACTATTCAAGAGAAAAGACCGAGAGTGAGGAAAAAAGTTTATTCGGCTAAACCGAATCACATGTATGTTTGTTCCTTAAAAATGAAAGCCATCTCTTTTCCAGTTATGTGTACTTATTATTCGGTGATTTTTGACTGGGCCAATGTATAACCCTTACCTCCTGAAAAACAGGTCTGCTTTTGGACTCAACTGAAGGCGTTTGAACGGATGTACATCAAAATCTATTTCGAATGAGGGCGCAAATGTGGTATGGTAACTTAATGTAACTCATAGTTGTACGAGACTGTATGTTGATTACAAGTGACTAATAGTATGATAATAAATATCTGATTACAGGTAAAGTATTTGTACACAGGATTTGTGAAAAATGTGGAATTTTCCTAGTTTAAATCACGAACTGCTAATAGCTAGGCCACCAGCGAAAACCTAGGACGACTTCGCGGTCATTTAGTTCTAATATGATACTAGTTTCAAGAGCCCATTGGTGACTAGCTTTAACACACAACTTCTGAGGTTCTAGTGAGAAAGCGTGACCAGTGGAGTCCAGTTATTCACTCCAAGGCAATATAACATGGTTGCGCTAAGTATCGCGAATAGATTGAAGTTAGACATGTACACCACTGAATACCAGTTCAGTGGTCTAGAGGTTAAGGGTTTACGCCCGAGACTGAAAGTCCTATATTTGATTCTCTTAGATAGGGGGGTTGTGGGTCAGCATTCCTGAGAAGTCGTAGTACTAGTAGGTTTCCAACGGTGGCCTAACTGAGATTAGTTGCGAAGATAAAATATGTATCAGGAAAAAACCCCAGCTAACGGGGATACTGTACAACTTTTTCTAATAATTAGTAGTATGATTTGATAGTTAAAATAGGAAAGCCTGAAAAGAATGCTAACAACCGATTATTCAGTAAGAAACCAAACGAATATTTGAAAAAACCCATATTAAACAGACTAAACTATTTTATGCTTTAAAATTTAAAGAAATATGACTAGAAAAGACAATTAACTTTGCAAGGCAAGTAATGTAAATAGTGAATCACTTCTTCAGATAATTCCTGGACCAAATACACATAGGTAATTGTCTTTCACTTTGAATCACTCTTTAAAGATGAAATCCAATGATACTAACTAAATGGTCAAATCAAAGCAGACAGTCATTCATATGCAACGTAGAATCTGGTACATGTGTACATAGGTTTGAGTGGCCACAAGCTATTAGAACTAGATGAAATTGTCAAGGCGAATGCAAGAGTAGTAAAGGAAGTAACGCAAAAGACTAGGCATAGAAGATACGATTACAGAAGAAAATGCAGATATTGATGAAATAAAAAGGAGATTATAAGCTAACTCAGAAATTTAGTATTTGGGAGAAAATAAAGACTGAATGCGTCTGATCCATGTCATTTAAAGTCTCCAACCATTGGCTAAGATAATCACGCAGATCACAATCAGGTCATTCATACCTACCTACATAGCTCAGTCCACTAGTCAGTGTTTTCATAGATTGATTCAATGTCTTGGTTTGGTCAGTTCTATGTTTCTTCTAACCTACTCGAAAATCAGCAATTATCACGCGTCAAGGTAGTCGATGGATGGAGATACATAGAACATTTCCAAACCACCTCGGTCGATAATGATTAAGTACTCCGTCAATTGATTCGCCATACTTACCTAATACTCTGCTTCTAAACTCAGAATTGTTAATTAAATGATGCCCAAATTTACGAGCATTTTAGTTTTATTTTCTCACAAATTTATCTTTTCTTATAGAATTACATTTTCGATACCTACTATTTTCTATTGTCACTAGTACTGTTACTAATCTGGGATTCATGTTTACAATTTTATCTTTCTGGACTAATGTAGTATGGAAATTTGAACCGATGTGCACATGTTTCAAGTTTTACATTGCGTATAACTGATTGACTGACATGATCCGACTACTAAACATTGAAACAGACAATATGATCTGATGAAGTAATATTTTGTATTTAGACAGAGTAAAGAAAGTAATATATTTGTAATGTCTCAATGAGTAGAAAAATTAGATTTTCTGACGTTTCGTGACGCAGTGTAAGCCACCTCTTTAGAGAATAAGTAACTAAATCAAAATTAATACAAGTTTAAATAGGTCAAAGGAACAACGCTAGAATATTATGTGAGATCAATCAAAAAAGTAGGTCTGAACATTATTTGTAGACTGAACACTATCGAGTAACTATATTATAGGTATATTCATATTTGCTTTATTCTAAACTTCCATTTGACCTATTGACTATTATTATAAGATTTACTATTTTTAAGTTATTCCCAATTTATTAGTTACATTCTCTCTTACTCATAGTCACTTTTGATTTGATCTTGTATCATTGTTATTTTCTGTTTTATAGTATTATGTAATCTGGTTTATTTGTATATAAACTGCTTATATCTGACATACATGATTCATACATTGGAAGCTAAGATTGTGTTCAGAACTTAAGTAGACAAGGTTAGGCGAGAAAAAACTAATAAAGACTCAGAGTTGACTTTACACTGCTCGTACTGGCTATAACATGTCATTGGTTTGGCAAAATGCTAAGGTCATGGAAGTTAGTATTCTGATTAGCAATATTATTGCATGATATTTGACGGGGCTTAGGATATAACAAATATTATCGTTATAATTGATCACAATCAGGAAAACAAGTTATAAGAAATCAATATCTTAATATATATATATCACTGTTGAGCAAAATGTGGAATCAAAGCAATGATTGATAGCTGTCGCAACTATAATCATATTAATACATGTAAAATCTATTTCTAAACTATTGAAACAAAAAAATAGACAAATATGATTGAACATTAGTGAAAATTTCACTTGCATTATTATAAAAAGGATAATACATATCATGTTGAGAATTGTGATGATGGTTGTTAAAATAACTTTGACTTCCTTCTCTCCCTCCTCCATCACAACCACTTAGAAACACACACACACACACCGTCAGTCAGTCAGCTACAATGTAGGACCAGGCACATATGTGCATTGGTCCAGGTTGCCATACCTCATTAGCACAGCAAGATGAACACCATCACACCGTACATTAATGTATATGCATATAAGTGAGTTATTTCTATAGAGTTAAACTGAATTATGAAATAGAAAGTGATGTTATTTATGTTACTTAAATCTATATATCTATTCATTTATATCCAATGAAAATCACACATTATACATTAGATAGATTCATTCAGGAGAATTCCTATAGTTCAGTATATAAAAAGGATTGTTATATGTAGGTAGTATGCTATAACTAACTCTTTCCTTTCATATGAAATCAATATGATACTGTATTATAATATTTTCATAATTAACTATTACGAGTAATTTAACCACCTTATGATTTACAGTATTATGTCGTTAAAACAATGAAGAAATCAATTAATGACAATTTAATTTAAAAAAAGTATATATAATTTGTCAGATTTGGTTGATATTAGTTTGAAGAAAACCCTAGACTAAGAGTTTTCTAATGATGAAATAAATATTGTGGATATGCTACCACCTTGTTGATGATATTCTGTTAACTACTTATAATCAAGTAACATTAAAACATAATACATATGATGTCCAGTTGCTTAGACTAGTGACCACATTGTATTTTGGCAGACATAATTCGAATAGCGCTAAGAACTATGTTAACATGATGTTGGTTACTACTAAAGTTCGATCAATGTGCAGATACCCTGGACTCGGCTGTTAGACATACTGATTAGCTGTAGACCAACGATACTACTAACACTATCCAAGTGCCTAGAATAAAGACGATAGAGTAAGGTTCAAGCTTAGAAATTACTGGTTGAAAGTAGAATAAATCGATTTGAATTACTGAATCGCTGCACTCAACAATATCGTAAACGAGGCGATTGTACTAGCATTTAAATTACGACGGTAATTGCCACTTTTCGGAAGAATACTTCTTCTTGAAGTGTCTCATAAAAGAACTAAATAAAGTGTGGTTTTTACGATCTGGGAGTTTGACAAAAATAATCAAGTAAAAGTTGATTGAGACCAGTCCTATATCTTACAATCTTTACTATGAGTGAGGACAAAATAAGCTTTGATATTGACGATAAGGATGCTAATTAATTGAGTCAAACATCTTACTACTGATGTTACACATCAAGTACAGTCAACAGTACTATTTCATCCATGAACCTGAATTTTTTTTGCCTTTACTCTTATTATTTTGCTTTACATACTTAAGGCAATAATAGCAACAACCGTCCCAGCTAATATAACTCTATTGTGTCATCACAACATACAAGCCCAATAATCACAAAACAAGGTAACAGCTAGATTTGGGACTAATAACTATC